AGCTAGTAATCAGAAAGACTATGGCCTGAATCAGATGCACCTTAGTCCTCAAACTGACATCATTACTCCTCAATAACTTGGAAAGGTCCCTAGCTGCAGATTTTCCTAGTGCAATGCATCTCCTTATTTCCTTACTGCTCGTACCAAGGGTGCTAACTGTGGATCCAAGCAAGATGAAGCTGTTGAAAATTTCAACCTCCTCTCTATCCATCATGACACTGCCTATTGTCCAGTGGTAAGAATATTTGTTTTCTTGATATTGAGGCACAATCATACTGAAAGCTGCATTCCTTGATCTACTGCAACAAGTGCTTCAAGTCCTGCTCACTTTCAGCAAGTAAGGTTGTGTCATCTGCATAATGCAGGTTATTAATGAGTCTCCCTCCAACCCTGATGCCACATTCCTTTACATAGAGTCCAGCTTCTTGGACAATTTGCTTAGTATGCTGGACGACAAACAGGTTCATCCTGGAGAGGGTGAAGCCAGGCTGCTCCTTGGAGGCAAGGAATCTGAAACTTCGTCTGACGTACTTTGGGCATGTTGCAAGGAGGGACCAGTCCTTGGAGAGGGCCATCATGTTTGGGAGGGTAGAGGGACAGTGCAGGAGAGGAAGACCCTTGATGAGATGGATCATTCAGTGATTGAGATAATGGAAGTAGTTGTGTCAGAGACAGTGAGGTTGGCACAGGATAGGGCAGAGTTTAGGGCTGTTGTACATAGGGTTGCTATGAGTCACAAGCAACTTGACAGCACATAACAATAACAACAACATATAAATTGAACAGGTATGGAGATACATCCCTGACATAAGTGTTTTAAATTTTAAACCTTGCACTTGTGGTAAAGAGTCTTTTTTGGCATAATGGATTCAGTGAAGTACTAATTAAAAAGTTGATGGTTCTAATGTACCAGCCTTTCTGAGGGTGAAAGTAGGCTCCTTTAAGATGTACAGCCTTGAGCTGCATAGTGTAGTGGTCCTGGGGGGAGGGACTGTCCAACAATGACAGAATTTTTCTTTTACTTTTCAAAAAGAAGAGCGAACTGGGGGGCTGGGGAGGGGTGGTGAGGGAGAGAGAAAAGTGCAACAATGAATGAGTGGAAATCTAAAGTCTCTGTAAATTTCCATTAAAATTAATAATAGTAATAATAATAAACCAAAAGAAAAGATGTACAGCCTTGAAAATCCAGTGAAGCAGTTCTGCTCTATCCTATACAGTTTCTTACTCAGAAACAACTCAAGAATGCTCTGCTGGAGAAGGAGGGACAATCTCCTCCTTTACCAGTCAGATCTGATTTGATGGTACACACACATAAAAATAAATTAAAAAAACAACAACTCAAGAGCAGTGAACTTGGGTTTTTTTATTTATATCTGTGGTTCAATTTTCTTTGGTATGGTAATGAATATATTAGTATAAGGTCTGGATAAAATTAATCACATTTATTTTATTAGATATCAGATTAAGCAAGCAAATAAACAATCAGGGATGAGGGGAAATGGAAGCCATACCACATGAAGATTCTTAAGGAGTTAAGGAAAAGAAGCTGAGAAGAGACAAGCCCTTTCCCTCAATTTTATTACAATCTTGGGCAACCATTCTTCCGGTGACATGTTATCTGTTTCCCACCTTTCTTTTCTTTTCCCTGACTATCCCAAATAAGATAGGGAAATGAAGTGCCAAATCAAAAGTGGGCTGTTCAGATCTACCAGCTGCTTGACAGGAGAAAGATGGGCAACCTTCTCTATGTAGTTCACAGCCAGTGAAAACCCGCTAGAAGTGTCAACCACGAGTCTGTTCTGAGGAATATTCACACTCACGTGTGTCACTAGTTTTACTTTGCTATTATGTTCTTCTACAAAAATCTTAAACTCAGACTTAATTGGATATCCAGTATTTTCATTTGCAAAATCTGGCAAGCCTATTAAAAGGCATGAATGCATTATGTTGTTGTTATGAGCCATTGAATTACTTGTGACTCATAATAACCCTATGTGCAACAGCTCTGATCCCTGCTCTATGTAGAGCCAACATCACAGGCTCTGACACACCTTACCTCCCATTACCCTAGTCACTGAGTCAATCTATCTCAGCCAGGGTCTTCTTCTCTTTTGCCCTTCCAAGCATGTTGTTGTTGTTGTTGGTATGTGCCATCAAGTCACTTGCGACTCATAGCAACCCTATGCACAAGAGCCCTAAATGCCATTCTATCCTGTGCCAACCTCGCTGTCTCAAACACACTCATTCCCACCACTCCACTCACAGAATCGATCCATCTCATCGAGGGTCTTCCTCTCCTGCACCATCCCTCCAGTCTCCCAAACATGATGTCCCTCTCCAAGGACCATTTCCTCCTTGCAATATGCCCAAAGTATGTCAGACGAAGCTTCAGAATCCTTGACTCCAAGGAGCATTCCAGCTTCACCTTCTCTAGGACAAATCTGTTTGTTCTCCTAGCAGTCCATGGTATATTCAACACTCTTCTCCAGCACCACGGCTCAAAGGCATCAATTCTCCTTCTATCATCCCTATTCACTGTCTAACTCTCTGATGCATAGCACATAATTGCAAAGATTATAGCCCTGATCAGGCATAACTTAGTCTCCAGCCTGACGTCGTTGCTTTTCAGTACTCTTGAGAGGCCCCTCACAGCATGCATAGCACAATAATAGATGTCCCAATGGAGTTACAGAAAAAAGCTGACTAGTTTATGTGTTAAAAAAAATTGATTTTGAAAGCACTATACACAACAAAGAAGCTTGGGGGAGCTTATTGGTAAGAAGTTGCACTGCCAACCAAAAGACACAAGGTTCAAATCAACCAGCTGCTCCTTGGAGGAGAGATGGGCAATCTCCTCCCATGTGATTTACGGCCTCTGAAAACCCACTAAAGAGCCACTTATGTATTGCTTTCTACTCAATGGACCATAATAACAATATGCACAAAAAGAGGTTTTTCTTAGATCACTATCTTTAAACAAAACCAAGACTCGTGGCTTAGAGATTTTAAAAGATTGGAGTTGGAGGTTCTTAGAAGACAAAGAGAGAAAAGACTAGACTCAAAGAGGGCAAGAAATTATGTGAAAAATATCTTTAAAAGAATTTCTGTTAAAAAGGATTTCAGTGCTTGGAGGATTAAACTTTATCTCATGTCTCCCAAGTCTCATGTCACCAGATAATTTGTTTAATCTCAAAACTATTAAATTAGAAGTATAGCTCAACAACAAGAAAAACCTGTTTGTTCTTTCAAGCTGCCAATTTAGTTGAATCTAGACCTCAGAAAACCTTATGTACAATAGAACACATTTAGGTTGGACTAGCAGACATATAAGATTGGCTTAGAAAGAAAAAAAAAAGATTGACTTAGGATAGGACAGGTTTCAGAGCTAATGTAGATAGGTAGCTATGAGTTCCAGGCGACTTGATGGCATATGACAATAATAATAAGAAGAAGTATGTTCTTATTGGTTTTTCAAGGGAAGGACTTACACATAAACAAAGCTAAAAAGATTTATCAATGATTATCTGTCACTTAAAAAGAAGGAGCTGAAACAGGTTACTCACATATCAACAGTTTAAAACTTGTGTGATCTTTAAGCTTTGAGATAGCTCTACGGAGTTCAACATTCTGGTATTTCTTCTTGAGAGTAAATAAATTTTTTTGGTTTGTTATTTAAGAGTAGAAAGAAAGTTCAAGACTTTCCTGAAAAACCTATAGTATTAGAAAACTCTTACATGCAATCCAAACCTCTAAGTTTGTTTTAAAGCCTTTGCCTTTTTTCTGTGAAAAGAAGCCTTTGCCATTTGAGAACTGTCTTTCCTTATAATGCTTCTGGTTTTTTTCTGAAAACATGTAGGATTCTGATGGAAAATTTTACTAAATTAAGTCAGGTACTATTCTTTTGAGATAAATTAATATCTTCTTCAAAAATTATGTACACTACATTAAAATAGATGAGGAATAGAACTGCTTAAAAGTAATATATGGTTAGGTATTATTTGCATGACAACAGTCCAGATTAAGAGCTGCATAGTAAAGTGGACTGGTGGTGGATGTGGGGATTGTACAACAATGAAAAAAATGTTTTTTCAAAGAGAAAAGCAAACTGGGAGTGGGGGACAGGGAGGAAAATGTGTAATAATGAATGAATGGAAATCCAAGTTCTGTATAAACGTTAATTAAAATATAAAAAAAAATTATTTATTAAAATCTCCTGGCCATGTAATATGCAAAACTTCATTTAGATGTCATAGATCCATGGCAGGGCATTTATGAATCATTTGTAACTAACACAGAAACTGCAATAATAGTTTAAGCACAGCTGAGGTAGTTAGAACGGACTGGACAGGCTTTCTTCCTGTTAGACCTGGAGGCACTCTGAGTTAGAGCCCATTCAAGGAGACCTAACCACATCTACCTATACCAGGTAATAACTTGAGAAGTAATGGGTGATAAGTGACTAAATTCTTACCAACTGGTATAATTTTTTGCTCACCTCATTGCTTTTATCTCTGCATTTAAGATCCAAAAACATATTTATAATCAGTTTTATTTTTCCTGTGTAGAATATTTGCTTCTGCTAATTCCATATTTGAAATTTCATTTTACTTTATTCTGTATAAGCTTAGTAAATAAATCCTTTCCTGGGACATTTATTCTAATAAAGTCCCATACTATGAGTAATAGTACTGTAATGCCTAAATTCATAAAAGAAAGTATTTCTTTTCTTTTTTTAATGTTATTCTCTTTAATAAATAGAAGCCACATCACTTCACTTGTTACTGCAAATAAATTAAGAGGCAACAATTCAAGAGGTCCCCACAAAATAACAGAAAAGGATGAAGACTTTCACCATCTCTACCTTTGGTTTTCTTTTGATTTCTGCTCTTCCACCCACATAAGCATGTACTTTCAAAATGGAATTCTGTCTTCAGATGCTATACTAGTTGGAAGTCTAATTTATCAGCTTGCCTTAATAACAGAGTGAAGGGATCCCTGAATTAGCTGAGGAACCTGGATAAATCTTCTTTGATTTCTGCTTCATCCCAAGGCCCATGAATGTTTTTGTTTTTTTTAGAAAGCTGCAGGCGAATGAGGTAGAAACAGCAGAGGCACGAGATGGAAATAAGCAGAAGGGCGAATAGTGTGGCTCCCACACCACTAATGGACAGCAGGCCTCCTAAAGCAGAAAACGCAAAAAGCAGCGTGACTCCCACGTAGCTGCGAGGAGTCCGTGCCTTTAGCTTCTTTTGTAGCATGGGCCACAGAGCAAAGATCTGGATGGCAAATGTCACCACGATGAAGGCATGTAAGGACTGGGGCAGGCGCGAGGCCAGGCAGACAGACGCAAAGATGGCCATGTTCAAGGACAGTGTGCTGGATACAATGGCAGCGTTGGCACCATAGTCGAAGAAGATGAGGTGGCCTAGCAGCATGAAGACCGACATGGCGTAGATGGTGTCAGTGCTGACTGGCTCTGTCAGGGTCTTCAGCACTGGTGAGAAGCCATATGTAAAAGTGATGAAAACCAGCACACTCTTCAGGTCGGCCCACCGGGTCCGCCCACTCTTTTTGCGCCCTTCACCTCCATCAATGAGATCAAACAAAACATACCCAATCAGTGAGGAAGCTAGGCCGGTCCCAAAAAGCCACTGAGGGGCCAGCAGACCTTCGTCCATATACCACCAGATAACCACAAACACACACACACTGCACAACTGCTGAATCACCACGCTGGACTCAAACACGACAGCCCAGTATTGGTATTTACGGGCGTAGATGTTTTTCCGAAGCTCTTCCAGAAACCTCCAATCCACATAATTATCAGGGAAGGGCTGTCGCTCATACAAGACCTTCTGCCACTTGGCCTCCTTGGTGTTAGTTTCTGGCTGGTCACACATTATCGTTTTCCAAAACTCAGGCCTGTTCAATCTCCCCGGAAGAAGTCCATGTGGTTCTGGTTCTTTATGAGGTTTTGATATAAGGCCTCTCTGGAAATTCCATGCTGTGCTGTAGCTGACAGTCTA